AGGAAGGAAGGAAGGAAGGAAGGAAGGAAGGAAGGAAGGAAGGAAGGGAGGGAAATTGAATGAAACCCCAGTTTGGAGTAGGTACCCAATTAAAAGAGTTTCTGTTTTCATTCCTGAGGTTATATTGAAAAATGGGGAATTAATATTTCTTAGATGCTGCCATCAAGAGGTGGATTTTTCTAGACTTCGCTTCCAGGACTTGGCCATGTGTCTTGCTTTGGCCAATGAAACATTAGCCAATGGAATACAGAGGCTTGGAACACCCTTACTCAATGGATTTTGCCTTCTCTTGCTGCTGGGAATCCTCCAACCATCATCTAAACAAGCCTGAGCTTTCTATAGAATGATGAGAGACCCCAAGAGAGGCCCAGCCATTCCCACCATGCTTGCCATTGCAGCTGAGACCCTAGACATGTAAGTGAGGTCATTATAGATCATCCAGCCCTGTCCAAGCAAGCCCAGACCAGAAGAAACCCACAGAATCATGAGATTTAATGAATCACTATTGTTTTAAGCACTAAGTTTTGGGATTGTTTGTTTTGTTGCAAAAGCTAATACAGTTCCCACAATAAGCCCCTCTTCTGTAACTTGTTTCTTTCTACCTTGCCCATTCTCCAACCATACAAATCCCTTTATCTCCCTCAATAAGCCAACACTTTTCTGATCCAGACCTTTGCACATGCTGTGCATTGCTCTCTCTTATGCATTGCTCTCTGTGATGTTCTGAACCTGGCTGGCTCCATCTCATTCTTCAAGTCTTGGCTTTCTTGACCATTCATTCTAAATTGTGTTCTCCAACCACTTCCCAGTTCTTTGTTAGCACTGGTTTATTTCATTCATAGCTCTTTTAACAATTTGTGGTTATTTTGTGTGTTTGTTTATTAGTTTTAATCTATTCCCTTCCAAGCTCCATGGAATTGCCTTATCTGTTTGCTTACCAGATTGTTCAGTAGAGCTACTGTAGCATTCACTAATTATTTGATGAAGGAAAGAGGAACATAAAGAGGAATAAAGTCATCTCACTCCCTCCTAGAATAGCTCTTGGCATTTAACATCTAGATACCACAGGGTGGGTCCCTTGCTATCAGCTATCCCAATGCCTTGAGACACATTTTTCATCTGTGCTTATAAGGGTTACCTATTTAAGGTACTCTATTGCTGAAAATCTAAAATGTGGCCTATGATTTTACCAGTGGGGCCCTGGGCTTTACTCACAGGTCTGACTTTCCTTCTAGAACTTTCAATGGGGTAGGTCAGTTTCCCCAAAGCCTCTGTTCCCATTCCCTTCATGAGCAGCTTTCGAGGCTTGATTATGCACTAGGTCTTCCTCATCCTGATATGCCCAGCCTGTGCCTGGCTAAGCCTTCAGATATGTTACTAATAGAAAAATGATTCAACAGAAATTACAGACATGATACAGAGATGAAACCAATTCTATGCTCAGAAGAGCCAAGGCACTATTGGTATTTTTGATACATCTGAGTCAGTACAGGCTAATCAAAAAGGCAGTTTGAAAAATCAACACCCAAAAAGCGTTCTAATGCAAGACAGAAAAAGTACATCATCCTGATTTTCCCCTTCCCCGACAACTGTCATGAGAAATTCAGAGGAGGCGGGGGATGAATATGGTGGAAAGGAGAGGTCAAAGGACCGACCATGGGCCAGCCTTGTGATCCGCATCTGAAAAAATACAAAAGGAGCCAAATACCAGCATAACGAGGAAATCAGGGTCATCCAGAGAACAATCAGCAATGAATTGAAGCGCCCTGTGATGCTGTCCCATATGGTGGGAGCTTCAGGGAGGATCACACAGAGGCCATGAGGTAGGGCTGCAGCGGGTGGGTGGGGCTGACTGCAGGAGAGGCCATGGGACAGCTGAGTGAGCAATGAATGCAGAGCTGGGCTGGGCCGGACCTTGGACAGGAAGCAGTCGGGTTTGGTGTACACCAGGGAAGAGCAGTGGTTGAGCAGAACCAGCTCAAAAGACAGCTACTGTACGTCAACAAATGGAACTTAAGTCCAAATCTACGTTGCCCCCACATTTTATCAGCACCATAGCATGACTGAGAAAGGCTCACCTGGCAAGATTCCATCCACGAAGACGATGTCCAGCTGCCCTCTTTCCCCCGACTCTCCTGGTTTGGGCTCCATACACAGTTCTAGTCCTGGAAGTTGTCTCTCTCACTCTGGGCATCTTCTATTCAACACTGGTGAGCCCAACACCAGTAAGGCCCTGCCCTCATTGGCTGGGCTGGATCTGACTTTGTCCACTACTTCTCCAATACCCATATGGGCCCTGCCACCACCCATGTTGTCTTACTGGGTGTTTACTGGAATATAAAATCATCACAAAGTTCAGCATATCTGCTTTACCCTCTTACAATCACCCAGTAAGAGCAGACTGCTGGATTGCCATAGTCATTGTCATCTCCATGGTGTACTTCTTGGCCTCTCCAGGCACAGTGGCAATGGTCAATCTAGGCCACTGGCATTTGATGGGCAGGAAACAACCTGAGCAATGACACTGCAAATTGGAAGGTCAGCTTCTTGGGAGTTTGGCAGAAGTTTAAGTATTCTGCTTTCCTGGTTGGGTGGAGACAGGAAAAATGGTAGAGAAAAGAACAGATTAGAAAAGCATTGTGGTGTTGGTCTCAGTCCCAGATTCCCCTTACATGGCTGGGAACTGAGCTGTGAAACAGGACTCCTGATCCAGGATATGGCTGGACCCTGGGGGGATCCCCAGAATAAGAAGCTGACCTCTGGAGCCTATGGACCCACTGATACAGCCTTTTATAAGCTGTGGACTGCACATTCAGTCACCTGCCAGGGCTTTAGGGAATAAGTTTGGGCCCATGGACTCCCATGGAGACACTTAATCATTGCGTCCCTAACACAGAGACTGTAGTGCTGGTGCTATAGTGAAGAGCACATTCTCTGCCTGATCTTTGACAGGTGGAGGGGCCCGTGGCCACAGAGAGTATTAAGAGCAGCTCAGGGATATCTAGTCCTCTTTCTTAACTGGTTCACCCTCAGAGAGAATGTAATCTAACGAGAAGCCCCAGCATCGACATTTATAAAGAAATGTCACTGTTGGGTGACTAATTTTATGATAGGCTAAATCTAAAATTCCTCTTTTCCTAAATAAATTCCTCACTTTTCATTATATAAAATTAAGTACTAATTTTATGTTCTTAGAGGGTAAGGGTGGCATCTTTTTGGCTTGGTGGTCTCACAGCATCTAGTCATGTAAAAGGAAGAATCATTGCTGTGGCTGAGTTTGAATGAGGCCATGTGAATGCTCACAAGAGACAGACAGAGAATGGGAGGATTGACCAGTGATGGAAATGTAGCATTTGTTATTATGATATCTCATCCTTTCCAGCTTCAGATTTGGGATAAAGCAACTTTAGTCCAGCAGAATCAAAGTCAAGATTCTAAAGTAACTCAGCCTAGCAGATGTGTTCAATACTATTTATGATTCATTTGTTAATTTATTCAATACATCTATTAAGCACCTGTTCTGTGTAGGCAGAGCATTATGCCTCCCCAAAGTTAGTGGGGAAATTGGGCAGGAGCTAGAATATTCAAATGAGAGATGGACATTGCTAATAAAGAATAAAGTCAGACAGCTAGGTAAGGGAAGAAAAGCAAGGACTTTCTCTTTGTATCAGTGTCACAGAATTCACCAGTTTCCTTCTAGTTCACACAAGTCTTTTGTTTTCTCCAGTTCCTGCAATGCACCCATTTTTTTCCTTTTGCAATATTTATTCTCTACTATTCATTCTGATATTTAATCATATCAACCTCATCTGGGCAATTTCAAGAGAAAATTCAGGGCAGATATTCAGTCCTCCATGCAGCTAACCTCAGCCCCATCTGTACCTGCTTCATTCAACATCAATGTGCAGCTACTTCTGTATCATGTGGTCTAGCTCCCAGCTGTAATTTATCTCTGGCATACTGTATTGTTTCATATCAGGAAGTCCAGGTCCTCAAGCGACCAGTTCTTCTCCTTCTCTTGGGCTCCCTATATAGGACAGAGTACATAGTTTTACAGAAAAAAAAAAATCTAAATGAGTAAATTAAAGGCTTAATAAGAAAACTATCTATTTGGGCCAATTAAATAGTTATTCCAGATATGGGGAGACCTATGCCCTTGGTAACTGAGTCTTCTAAAAGGTCATTTATACTAAAATGTAAATGACTGATAATGCAAAATTATTTCTGCCAGAAAATATTTACATTTAGTCAGAAATCCAGAGTCTTAACCCAAAGAAAAATGTTACAGTCAGTCATTAACTGTAGCTGTGACCTAAAACTTATGGTGCTGTCACTCATTTAACCCACTGTCAAGCCCTGGCTCCCCTTTACAATATCATCACTGTCCCCAGTTGAGTCAATAGTGGTGATTCTGTGTGTTTAATGAGGCTTAAAACTGGGGGACACATAAGTAGCCCCAGCCCGTGTTAGCGAGCTCTGACCTCCCTAAGGTAAATGGTAAGCGAGAAAGCAACTGTCACCAACCTCCCTACTGCCTACACACACATGCATACAGCCATCCCTGGAAGTCTCACAGTTCCCCATAGAACAGCTTCTCTCAGGAGAGAGTGGGTTTTTAAGATAAACTCCTCTAAAGGTTGTGTGCCTGCCAGCCACTGATGCAAGGAGCATAATTAAGATGGAAAACAACCAAATACTGCAAAGAGCAGAGACAGAACAAGACCGGGCCAACTCAGTGAAAAGGCCTCTCTCCCCTGTGGCTCTGTGCTCAAGAGCTCTCCACAAGCAAAGAAATAAGGGAGGGTGGAAAGGAACACATGAATAAAACAAAAGGTATATTTATGGAGCACTGCTGAGCAACTCCTACAGCACCTCCTTCTGGCTGGACCCCTGGGGTCACCTTCCAGTCCAGGGTTAGATCTCCATGTCCCACTCCATTCTTTCCCACAGGCCTCAGATGTGGCAAGTCAGCTGAACTCAGGTGGAAATCATACTGAGTGCACAGGAGCAGGGGAGGTGGAGAAGGATGGAAGCCCAGAGGAGGGCTAGGAAAAATGTGAGAACTATAGGGCTGACCTCAAATCAGTGACCAACAGCCCTAAAGGTTGGTAATGAAATCAGCCCTGGCTCCAGCAGGCCCTTAAGCCCTACATCTCAGAGGAGTGACAGCAGGGTGAGCCAGATGGGAAGCGTTGTCAAATTCAGGTGGGGGACAGCATCACGATGTGCGTGTTTGGTTCATTAAGAGCCAGACACAAACCACAAGCTTGGGAGGCAAGGAACAGAATCCAGGCTCACAGAGTCTACACAGAAACTTGCCAAAGAGTCAAGGCCAAACCCAGGGGCCTGAAATTCAAGCCAGCATTCTGTCCCTTCCAAAGAACTGGATGGCAAGGTAGAAAAGAACAACAGAAAACCAGTCATAATGATTGCATCATTAGGACTTAAGGGATTAAGGGAATGGGTTTTGGAACCAGGTCAACATGGCTTGTTCATCCAGTCGGTTCCTCATTTGAAAAATATGGGAGATCACCTTCCTATGGAACTGTTAGGAAGACTAAATGAGATCATGAATGAAAAGTGATTAGCACAGAGCCTGGCACACACACTATTATGATGGCACTGATGGCAGAGATAGGGCTGCTGGTGTAGAAGGAAAAATTGTAACAGTGGCACCTAGGGTCACAATCTTACTATCTATTTCAGCCTCCACTGGTTCATGGGGCTGAGGTGCCTAAGGCACACCTGCTGGGTCAGGGTTGATGCAGAAACTGAAGTACTGTGGGCTGAAGGCTGCACCAGCTTCAGGCATCCATTGCTGGAGCTGGCAGGAGCTGGGCCCAGGGACACAATCAGCTTATCTCTGGCTCATTGTAGGGTTAAAAGATGTGTTTACAATCTACTAGCCCACTTCCCAGATCACAAGGCACCGAGGTCACCCAAATGGTTTGCAACAGAACAAGAATCAGAACTGAGGTCGCCTAAATCAGAGATCAGAGTTCTTGCCATTCTACTGGGGCTCCTTCATCTCCATGAAACATCTTTACCTAATGCCCTCCTAGCCTCACTGCCCCTGCTATCAGCAGACAGATCTCTCCCTCTAGAGTTAGGTAGCAATTCCCATGGGAAACAGGCATGTGCTAACGAAAATGTCAGGCATAGAGAAGCGACACACACTGTATGAGTCTCCTCTTCCCGGATGTGGAAGCCACCTGCTCACTGTGGCACAGGGAACGGAGGCCAGGGTATGGATTCCATGGTGAGCCCACCATAAGAAAGGGTCAGCTTTCTTCAGGAATTGAGGTACTGGTCTTGTCCCCTTTTCTTCTGTATCTTTCTTAGTATCATGAGACACCAGCTACTCTATTCCAAACATGAGGCATGAATCAGAACTAAAATTCTGTTTCCTAAATTCACAATTGAAAAACAACAGAATTTACATTAGTTATTTTTATCTAGAATACCAGGGTAGTCTATGAATAAAATACACACAGTTGGAGAGGAGGAGAATATTCATCCTACAGCTCTTTGCCAACCCAAAGGCCAGTTGAACCATCTTCATTACTTTTCATAATTAAGAACATAGTAACAGCCAACTAGGGGTGTTTAATCGATGTTTAGGGTTTTAAATTCAATTCTCACCTGAGCTGACTTGTCAGGTTGATTTAAAGTAGTTAAATAAAAATTAATTAATGTAATTCCATAAATTACAGAGTTGAAATGAGTTATTTGAAGTAAAGCAAAATGAAGTAAATCTAGGTTGGTTCATTTTTAGTCTCAGTACTCAGTACTGAGTTGCTGGCCAATTGATATGGGTGTTGGCCTTAAGTAACTGAGAATTCTAGAAAACTGGCTTCAAGAGATGGCCTGGGGCAAAACCATTGCTGGGTCCTGCAGGGTAAGTCCATTTGGGGCAAGGAAATCCAGATCTGGCAGCAGGGAGTTCATGCATCATCCTGGAAGCCCACAGGTTGAGGGGGTACAGGGACCAGAGGTGCTACATGGCTTGGGCAGGTCCTATAAAATGCAGGCCTTGGTCATACACTGACCTCTTAATTTAATGCCAACTTCTATGTTACTGTAGAATTTGACTATTTGTCTCAAAATTAAGAAATATATGCATAAGAAGCAGCTTAAAGAAAGGTCCCATGGGGTGGACCACACAAACCTACAGAATATTTTAGGCATTCTCTCTGTGTCCTCTACTCTCCTTCTAAATAAAAATGAATGTATTCTATACAGCAAATGTTCACATCTTCCCCCTCTTCCCCACCGAGCACATGATTCTACTTCTATCAATGCTTTTTTCCAATTCCCATTGTTACGTAAGCTGAATGTCTTGGAAATAGGCATATGTCTTAAAAATAGGCCTATGTATATAATTTAGCTGTGAATGTGGTATTCAAGCAGCCTCCAACTTAAGAGCAGGCTCTGTTCCAAAAGTTTGAGTGTATGTCAGTTTTCTAGTACTCAAAATGCATTTTCCCATAGAAACCATGTTGTGCGTGGTAGTTAGGTCCCCCAGGCAGCCCACAGATGCCTGTTGAAGCCCATGAAACTGGAGTGCAATACGGTCCTAATAG